ATAAAATATATTATTGAGTTGTGGTAAGTTTTTCGGGCTGCCTGGCCAAGGTTCCAGAAGCATTCTCTCCTGACGTTTCGCCTGCATCTATGGCAGGCATCCTCAGAGGTTGTGAGATTTGTTGGAAAATAGGAAAATGGAGTTTATATATCTGTGGAAAACATATGATATTACAACATTATTAATATTATATTATAGATATATTAGCATTATTACATTACAATGTTATTTAATACCTGTTTAATCATTAAACATTACAATGCATTACAATGCATTACAATTGCATTAAAATGAATGCAACTGTCTGGTCTTCCCCTGACACGATAAATAAATAAATTAAACATTACAATGTTGAATCCCTGCTCTGTATATTTGTAATTTGTATTTTATAGAAATGCATTTTAATATGTACCTTTTATACAAATACATTTTAATATGTGCATTTTATATAATTCTTGCAATGTTTAGGATTTTTTAATTATGCTGTGACCCGCGTCGAGCGACAAGGAGAGGCGGGTAAGTATTATTATTACTATTATTATTATTATTGTTATTGTTATTATTTGATACACAGCAAGATTGGTACACAGTAAACAAGATCACTTTGCTGGCTGTTGTATTGGATCACACATCGGACACTTCCCAAGTGTCTAGGACTGTGTGCTGTATCGGCGAATAATGTGTGCAGATCTGAGTAGGGTGGCCTTTTGCATCTGAGAGGTGGTAATTTTGGCAACGCCAATTGTTTTTAAGTGCAGGCCAAGGTCTTTAGGCACTGCACCCAAGTGTTTAGGACTGTGTGCTGTATCAGCAAATAATGTGTGCAGATCCCAATAAGGTGGCCTTTTGCAGCTGACAGGTGGTAATTTTGCCAGCGCCAATTGTTTTTAAGTGCAGGCCAAGGTCTTTAGGCACTGCACCCAAGTGTTTAGGACTGTGTGCTGTATCAGCAAATAATGTGTGCAGATCCCAATAAGGTGGCCTTTTGCAGCTGACAGGTGGTAATTTTGCCAGCGCCAATTGTTTTTAAGTGCAGGCCAAGGTCTTTAGGCACTGCACCCTGTGTACCAATCACCACTGGGACCACCTTGACTGGCTTGTGCCAGAGTCTTTGCAGTTCAATCTTTAAATCATCTTGTTGTTGTTGTTGTTATTGTTGTTGTTTTATATATTTGCAAGGTCTTCAGTCTTCTCTGCCTTCTGTGCCTCAACAAACTACAGCTCCCATACTTCCACACCACTGAGCCATGGCAGTTGAAATGGTGTCAAACTGCATCAATTCCACACACATTTTGATATTTCTACAATAGTGGAATAAATCAATCTACCCAACATTATCAATTCAACAGTGCCACACTGAGGAAGACACGAGCATGGCTTTTGTAGGCTTCCCTGCTCCAGTGGTATTAATATTATTATTCTTTATTGATCTTTTCAAATAGGTTTTAATCTCTTAAATGTTCATAATTTATTCACACCATGGATATAATTACTTCCTATGGCCTTCGGTCCACAAAAGAGGCATCTACACCAGAGATTTAATGTAGTTTGACACCACTTGAATGGCTACAGCTCAATACCGTGGAAGCCCGGGAGTTTCGGTTTAGTGGGACACCAGGACCCTTTGGCAGGGAAGGCTAATGGCCTTCTAAAACTACAAATCCCAGGACTCCTACCTCCAAAATATTCATTGGAACTCTTTCATAAGAGTTCCAATTTCCTAGGATGTTGCCTTATAACAATCCTGCTTTGCATCGTTTTTAAATGTATCTTTTGTATACTTGCTTGTATACAAACAAATATACAAATAAAGAAGCTGGTTGTAATGAATGAAAACCAGAAAACTCTTAAGAATAGAACACCAAAACAAAAATCCCCTTATAAGAGATTCATAAATTATCATACAGTATATCATTACATATAATGTAATATGTATAGGTTTGATATACAGGAGAATCTCGCTTATTCAGCCATAGAATCATAGAATCACCGAGTTGGAAGAGTTCGTGTGGGCCATCCAATCCAACCCCTTGCCAAGAAGCAGGAAAATCACATTCAAAGCTCCCCTGACAGATGGCCAGGAGCTCCTGAGATAAAGTTGCGCAAATTATAAATGTTTTTAATTGCACCTACATTTGAACAGCACCAGTACCACACTTATGTAGTGATTAAACCTCTCTGAAGGTTGTTAATGGAGGCTGAATGGCCATCTGTTAGGAGGCTTTTATTGTGTCTTTCTTAATAGCAGAAAAGAGTTGGATTAGATTCCTTTTGAGTATCCCTTCCAACTCTAGTGGAATATATATCTCATGGATCCAGTGCCTTCCATCCACGCACATTTTATTTTTGCAGGTGAGGGGAGCATTTTTCTTGTGACTGAAGTCGAACATGACCCCCCCCCCCCATAAGAGATAATAACTTATAGTTTTGCTAAGGGCAAGGACACCAGGCTGGATAATAAGGGTTAAGCCTTGGTCAGTTTGGTGTGTATCATTTAATCAAGGCTTTGTGCCCTTTTTTCATATGTTTACAGCAGAAGGTAACCAATTTATTACTGAAAATCATGCCACAAAAGTGTTTGACTTTTTCCATCTGAGACACACCTGGGCTCCTGATGGTCCCCCATCTCACAAACAAGGGACTCACTTTCCCCCTCATGGATATATTTCCCTTTATGGGCCTTCCTATGAATAATATAAACTATGGACACTGGGGGAGGGATGGCTGGATATGATTTTTCATCATGATTCCTGTGCTGGTACAGCTGTACCCGAAGCTCCCACTTTATTTGCCTTGTATTAAGTGTTTGCTTGCAGCCCAAGGCTTGGGATTCTGCAGCAGGGTGGCTTCCTGTTAAAGTTTGCAGTCATAGGGCAGGCCACCTGTTCATCATCATTAGGTTCTCTAGTCCCGCCCCCTTTTTGGGTTTAGAGAAGGGAAGGGAGCCATTTTTTAGTTAGTCTCTGCAAGAATAGCTAATGTACAGTAGGCTTGGGCAATCCATGGTTCTAAATGGTTCTAAAGTACTTACAAAACTAAAGTTCTGGTGGTGAAAATTTCAGAACTCTAACAAAACTTTCAAAATTTAATTATTATTTCATTATTGGTGATTTTAATGACAGAACCAATTAGGAACTGCCATTTATTATGAAATTTTGAGAGTTTTGTTAGAGTTCTGAAATTTTCACCACCAGAACTTTAGTTTTGTAAGTACTTTAGAACCATTTGGAACCATGGATTGCCCAAGCCTAATGTACAGGATGTGTACAGACTTTCTCCTGTACAAAGGCTTCAACCCTTAAGACTTCCCGGGGAAGAACAGTCTTAAGAGCATCTAAGGATTCCCAAAGGTTCCAGGGAAATAGCTTTACAGCCCTAAGGAATTTCAGAGGGAATAACAGCTTTAAACATCAAGAACTCCAGCTAAGTGACTACAGGCCTACTGGTAGGTCCACTCGGTTTTGAGACACAGTTCAGCCCGGTAGTGGATCCACACCAGTTAGGTTTAGGTTCACAGTTAGCCTGGGAGAAGTTTGGAAAGGGATTTTCCTTTAAAGTAAAGCAAAGAAACAGTTAGAAGCCACCAGTTGCTTGAAGCCTGGAAGCATTTGTTTAACCTTTGAAGACAAAAGAAGTTTCTGTTTGATTGTTCATCAATAAAGACTTTGTTGTATTTAAGCTCAAGCCCTCTAAAGACTGTTTATGGGGGGGAAATCTCTAAAGCTTCTCTTCGGGGCCCCTGGCTTCCCATTGGGCTAAAGTTGCACGTCCTGTTTTAAAGGCATTTTGTTTCAAGCCCAGCGGCGACAGAACAATTCTTATATTTCTGTTTCCCTTCATGTATCTGACCTTGCCCTGACCCTTTGCCCCCTTCCCATTTCCTTGAGAAAAAAATGTATAAGAAAGTTGCCCTGCCTCTGGTAATGTAATTAGTGATTGTGAAAACCCTTATCTTGGAACATTTCTTGCATAGAAAATAAAAAGGAATATCTTTCTTGACTTCGGAGTCGGGGCATCAAGAGGATAATCATTTGGCAGACTTTTAAATCATATAACAATTGGGGGGGGGAATGACCTTCGGAAAGCCCTTCTTCCTCCCAACCCGTTTTTCTTTCAAGCCTTTCCATTGAAGACATTCACCAAAAGTCTCCCCCTTTGTGCCCCTATCTGACTGCAAGATGAAAGTGATCAATGCTTATCTCAGATCAATCACAAGACAATAAGATTGGCTTTTCTTGCAGGCCAATTCCAGACTCATTCAGCCCCCTGGACATTTAACTCCATAATCCATTCAAGAATGCATTGTATTCCTTCATCCCGCCTCTCTCCCTTCTGATTCGCTGGAGCGCAGAGGCGGCAGGAGCCTCCTGATTGGCTCTGGCACACTGCGGAAGCCCTGTGATTGGCCCTGACGAACGGGGGATGGCCAAGCCTCCTCCCAGCTGTTTGCACGTCAGCCAATTCCCTTTAAGCCGGGTGAGAGGGGGGAGCGGGAGATTTGAACCACACAACTCTGTATTTTCTATAAAAATGGCATTTATTTGTGTAACCGCATGCTTAGCTTGGTGAATGATTGCCGCTTTGCATCCTTTTCAGCTAAATCACTAATAAACCTCAGTGGCACTTTCTTCAACTTTGGTGAGATTATTTTTGGGAACTTAAGGAAAATAAATTGCTTAAAATTAGGCTTCTCTTTGCTCACCAATGTAGCGATCCCTCTTTGGTGGGGCCGTAGGGTCTCTCCTCCTGGGGTAGACCCTTCTAAAGTTCCTATCGACTTCAAGACACACCTACAGGTGAGACCCTAGTGTCTCCCAACACCACAATTTGGAAAGCCATGCTTTAGGGTCTCGATTCGGCAATGACTCGAAGGAACGCAACAACAACAAACAAGAGATCTGCCTTGGCTGAAAACCAAGGAAATGCCAAAGAAACCATAAAACGAGGAAGCAAAATTTGCACTCGTGGCACAAGCCATCGCCATCTAGAAAGGGACTCACCTTGGAGCCTCTGGATCTGCTTTGTGAAGATCTCCGCTTGCTGAGCGCTGGCCAGTCGCTCGTCTTCCAGCAAGCCTGCCACAGAGACAAGAGAAGAATCAACAGCTGGCAAACATAAGAATCCATTGAACGATTTGGAACCGAAATTGCAGAATTAAGAATGCACTTTGACACCACTCTGAACTGCCATGGCTCTATGCAATGCAACCCTGGGAGTTGTAGTTTGGTGAAGCACTGGCACTCTTTTGCAGAGAAGGCTAAAGGACTTCGCAACTGCAACTCACTGGATCTCATCTATATAAATAAAAATGTAATGTTAGTATTATTATCATTTCCCACATTTCTAACTTGCCCTTCTCAACCCCCGAGGGGGGACTCAGGGCAGCTTACACCAGCAACATTTCAATGCCACAAGATAATACAAATATAAATAAATATAACAACAATTTAAAACAGTAAATAGAACATTAAGTTAAAAACACATTAAAAACATTGTCATCAATCCATATAGCCAATTCCAGTCCCATTCAACACCCAAAGTGCTGTCATGGTTGCTGTCCAAAGTCCTGGTCTCAGAACCATGATTTGACCTACTTTCTGAAAGAAAGGAGGGAAGACGCCAGCCTGATCTTGCTGGGGAGTCAGTTCCACAGGCATGGGGCCACCACCAAGAAGGCCCTGTTCCTCGTCCCCGCCATGCGCACTTGCGAGGCTGGCAGGACCGAGAGCAGGGCCTCCCTAGACAATCTTGGACAATGGGGAATGATCCTGGACTCATCGCTGAGCCTGGAACCCCAGGTCTCGGCGGTGGCCGGGAGAGCTTTTGCACAATTAAAACTTGTGCACCAGTTGCGCCCGTACCTTGGGAAGTCTGATCTGGCCACAGTGGTCCACGCTCTTGTTACATCCTGAATAGACTACTGCAACGCACTCTACATGGGGTTGCCCTTGAAGACAGTTCGGAAACTTCAACTGGTCCACGGAGCGGCAGCCAGGCTGCTCATCGGAGCGACATACAGGGAGCACACCACCCCTCTGCTGTGTCAGCTCCACTGGCTGCCAGTTCAGTTCCGAGCCCAATTCAAGGTGATGGTTTTGACCTACAAAACCCTATACGGTTCCGGCCCAGCGTATCTGTCTGAATGTATCTCCTTCTACATCCCACCTCGGAGTTTAAGATCTTCTGGGAAGGCCCTGCTCTTGGTGGGGACGAGGAGCAGGGCCTTCTCGGTGGTGGCCCCTCACCTGTGGAATTCACTCCCCGGGGAAATTAGGTCATCGACATCCCTCCTCTCTTTTAGAAGGAAATTAAAAACATGGATTTGGGGCCAGGCCTTTGGGTAATCTGGCAGACAGACAAAGGACAAGCGACGACCAGAACTGATGGACTTGACAATGTGGAATTGAATTCACAGACTCTGAGCTGGCAAACGTTGAGCATTAGATTGGTTTTATGGATTTTGATGTATGATGCATAATGGATTGTTTTAATTGTTTTTAATTACTGTTTATATATGTTGTATTTTTATCTTATTGTTGTGCTGGCATCGAATTGTGCCTTTTGTAAGCCGCCCTGAGTCCCCCCTCGGGGGTTGAGAAGGGCGGGGTAGAAGTACTTGAAATAAATAAATAAAGAAACTACGAGGCGGGATGTAGAGACAGATACGATGGAACGGATAAGGACTTGAATGAGAAGATATAGTTTTTAGCTTTTAATATTGTTATTATGTCTAATTGCACTATAATCGTTCTTTTGCTTATCAATGTATGTATTTTTATGGCATCGAATTGTGCTGATTGTGTACGCCGCTCTGAGTCTCCTCCGGGCTGATATGAGCAGGGTAGAAATAATGTAAATAAATAAATGAATGAATATTTTTAGACAGGTAAGCTGTGGGAGTTGAAGTCCAAAACACCTGGAGGGAAGCTCGAGGTTGGCCCATGCCTGGTGTAAACCATATTTGTGGTGTCATCTCCAATCATGTCACCCCGCTTTGCTTTGCCCCTATTCCAGATCCTAACCTTGCAACTCCAAGGAGTCGTCCTCATGTTTGAGAGCCGTCTCTCTGGCCTCCTCCAGTTCGTCCAACAGTTGGAGCACCTGAGCTCTGAGGTTCTGGTCCAGCTCTTGGTCGGAGAGGTCCGACGCCTTGTCTTCGTCATCGTCGTCCAAAGAGCCCAGGTTCTTGACCGGCACTCCCTCCCCTTCCGCCTCCTCTTCCTCCTCCTCCTCCTCCTCCTCGTCCTCTTCATCCTCCTCTTCCTCCTCGTTCAGTTCCGTGTTGGAGGTGTCCACTTCACCTGCAGGAGACAAGCTCTGTTAGCAGAATCAAACTGTTGTCAACAAGGGACAAAACCATCTCTATCTTAACCTTCTACGGAGATTCAGAAAGTTACATTTTGTGGACAACGACTTCCGTAATACATTATCCATCTCCCCAAAAATAAAGGAAGAGTTGCAAGACGTCTACACTGTCATCAAATGCAATCTATTACATTGACCATCTAACGCAATTTCCAACTACATTAGATAGCAGTGTAGATATGTACCAGAAGGGTGCTTTCCATTTATGTATGCTTGCATTTATTTTCATTTAATCTAAGCAGATGGAAAATGGAAAATCTAAATTACATCACCTTCTGCTCAATATTGTGGTCCCAATCCACCATGGAGTTGATTCTAAGGGTGCATTTACCGTGTAGACCATTGTTTCTCCACCTTCCTGATGCCGTGACCCCTTAATCCAGTTCCTTGTGTTGTGGTGACCCCCAACCATAACATTATTTGCGTTGCTACACCATAACTGTACATTTGCTACTGTTATGAATTGCAATGTAAATATCTGATATGCAGGATGTATTTTCATTCTCTGGACCAAATTTGGCACAAATACCCGATACGCCCAAATTTGAACACTGGTGAGGTTTAGGGGGAATTGATTTTGTCCTTTGGGAGTTTTAGTTGCTGGGATTTATAGCTCACCTACAATCAAAGAGCATTCTGAACTCCATCAACAATGGAATTGAACTAAACTTGGCACTGAACTCCCATGATCAACAGAAAATACTGGAAGGGTTTGGCCGGCATTGACCTTGCGTTTTGGAGTTGTAGTTCACCTACATCCAGAGAGTACTGCGAACTTAAACCATAATGGATCTGCACCAAGGTTGGCATGAATACATCCAGAGAGCACTGTGGACTCATACAATGATGGATCTCGACCAAGCTTGGCACAAATACTCAGTATGCCCAAATATGAACACTGGTGGAGTTTGTGGGAAATAGACCTTGGCATTTGGGAGTTGTAGCTGCTGGGATGTATAGTTCATCTACAATCACAGAGAATTCTGAGCTCCACCAACAATGGAAGTAAATCAAACTTGGCACGCAGAACTCCCGTGATCAACAGAAAATACTGGAAGGATTTGGTGGACATTGACTTTGAGTTTTGGAATTATAGTTCACCTACATCCAGAGAGCACTGTGGACTTAAACAACGATGGATCTGGACCAAACTTGGCACGAATACTCAATATGCCCAAATGTGAACACTGGTGGAGTTTGTGGGAAATAGACCTTGACATTTGGGAGCTGTAGTTGCTGGTATTTATAATTCATCTACAATCACAGAGTATTCTGAGCTCCACCAACAATGGAAGTAAACCAAACTTGGCACACAGAACTCCCATGATCAACAGAAAATACTGGAAAGGTTTGCTGGGCATTGACCTTGAGTTTTGGAATTATAGTTCACCTACATCCAGAGAGCACTGTGGACTCAAACAATGATGGATCTGGAGAAAACTTGGCACAAATAATATGCCCACATATGAACACTGGTGGAGTTTGTGGGAAATAGACCTTGACATTTGGGAGTTGTAGTTTCTGGGATTTATAGTTCATCTACGATCAAAGATCATTCTGAACCCCACCGAAAATAGAACTGGGCCAAATTTTCCACACAGAACCTCCATGACCAACATAAAATACTGTTTTCAGATGGTCTTTGGTGACCCCTCTAACATCCCCCTCATAACCCCCACCCTAGGAGTCCCGATCCTCAGGTTGAGAAACGCTGCTGTAGAAGAAATGCAGTTTCAAACCACTTGAATTGCCATGGCCCAATGCTATTAATTCCTGGGAGATGCAGTTTTACTAGATAGTTTGCCTTCTTTGCCTGAGAGTGAAGGTGCCTAACCAAACTAGGAATCCCAGGATACCATAGCATTGAGAAATAAAAGTACTATTATTGTTGTTGTTGTTGCTGTTGTTGTTGTTGTTGAGCCAGGACAAACTACATTCAAATAGCAAACATCACAGGATCCCATAATGCAATGGGATGATGGAATTGGTAGTTTGGTGAAATGCAAAGGATGAATCTACACTGCCAAATAATGCAGTTTGTATCTGCATTATATGGTCAGTGTAGATGCATATAAGGCAGTGGCTGCATTATATGCATCTACAGAAGTGGATCCCAACCTGTGGTTCACCAGAGGTCCCCAGGAACGAAAATATGGTCCGCAACCTCACCATTACTACTGGTCTACACTGACCATATAACTGCAGATTCAAAGTGCATTAGATGGCAGTGTTCATCCAGCCACAGAAGGCTAAAGACCAACTGTGTGGGATTGTTAGCCACCTTGAGTCCAGAAGAAGAGGAGGAGGAGGAGGAAGCTACTCATGTCTGTGCTGGTACAACTGTACCAGAAGCTCCCACTTTATTTGTCTTGTATTAAGTGTTTGCTTGCAGCCCACGGCTTGGGATTCTGCAGAAGGGTGGCTTCCTGTTAAAGTTTGCAGTTATAGAGCAGCCCCCCTGTCCATCATCATTAAGTTTGGTTCCGCCCCCTGTTCAGGACAATTGTGAAGGGAAGAGAGCCATTTTCAGTCAGTCTCAGCTAGGTTAGCCAATGTACAGGGCGTGTGTACAGACTTCTCCTGTACAAAGGCTTCAACCCTTAAGACCTCCCAGGGGAGAACAGTCTTAAGAGCAAAAGGATTCCCAAAGATTCCCAGGGAAACAACCCTAAAGCTCTGAGGAATTTCGGAGGGAAAAACAGCTTTGCATATCCAAGAACTCCAGCTGAAGAGACCACAGGCCTACTGGTAGGTCCACTCGGTGCTTTGAGACGCAGTTCAACCCGGTAGTGGAGCCCACATCAGTTAGGTTTAGGTTCACAGTTAGTCTGGGAGAAGTTTGGAAAGGGATTTTCCTTTAGAGCAGGGGTCCACAAACTTTTTAAACAGAGGGCCAGGTCACAGTCCCTCAAACTGTTGGAGGGCCGGATTATAATTTGAAAAAAAAAATGAATGAATTCTGATGCACGTTGCACATATCTTATTTGTAGCATAAAAACACTTTAAAACAATACAATAATTAAAATGAGCAACAATGTTAACAAATTAAAATGAGCAACAATGTTAACAATGGGAAATGTGGGCCTGCTTTTGGCTGATGAGATAGGATTGTTGTTGTTGTTGTGTGCTTTCAAGTCGTTTCAGACTTAGGTTGACCCTGAGCGAGGGCCGGGTAAATGACCTTGGAGGGCCGCATCCGGCCCCCGGGCCTTAGTTTGAGGACCCCTGCTTTAGAGTAAAGTAACAGTTAGAAGCCACCAGTTGCACAAAGGCCTGGAAGCCTTTGTTTAACCTTTTGAAGACAAAGGAAGTTTCTGTTAATTAATAAAAGACTTTGTTATATTTCACAAGCCCTCTAGAGACTGTTTATGGTGGAAATCCTTAAGAATTTCTCTTCGGGCCCCCTGGCTTCCCGCTGGGCTAAAGTTGCACGTCCTGTTTTAAAAGCAATTTGTTTCAAGCCCAGTGCGCAACAGAACACATGTCAGACTCTGGGGTGTGGTTCTCATCTCCATTTCTAAGCTGAAGAGCCGCCGTTGTCCATAGACACCTCCAAGGTCATGTGGCTGGCATGACCACATGGAGTGCCATTACCTTCCCACCAGAGCAGTACCTATTGATCTACTCACATTTGTATGATTTCAAACTGCTAGGCTGGCAGAAACTGGGGCTAACAGCGGGAGCTCACTGCTCCCCAGATTAAAACTCCTGACCTTTGAATCAGCACATTCAGCAGATCAGCGGTTTAACCCACTGTGCCATGGTGGGGGGGGGGGGGTCCTAATAATAATAACAACAATAACAATATAATCTTTGAACCCTTGCAAACTGACTTTTGGGGAGCAGATGTATAGCTTTCCCACATCAACCCTAGCTGACAATTGTAAACACTTAATAGATCTTTATATTTGAAAATGTAGGATTACTTTTGATCCCATCCAACACTGTATAAATATGCTTTGATGACCCAAGGAATTAATGCCACTTAGGATGTATCCAAAGAACTGGGTTTATATCCATGGAAGTCCATGCCAAAATAGAAACCAGGTAGTTTTACAGGTATTGATTGCCATATCTCCTCTTTCTGTTTTCCTTTTTCTCCTTTTTCTCCTTTTTCGCTAAATTCAGCAAAGAGAGAGAAATGCAGGCCTGCACCAATCTCCAAAGATTTCATCCCAAAACACACACATGCACACACACTCTTTTTCTGAGCCTGCTAAATGAGGATTACATAACTGGGTCATTTGTCACTAGAAGGGAGAGGGGAAAAAAGGAGATTCTGCAAAAGGAAAAATGTGCAATTCCTTCGATGATGCGTCCCACAAAAACCTTTCTCCTGTTGCAGTTTTATTGGGGTACCCTCTGCAGAAGAAAGGGTACAGATTAGGGGGGAAGTATCTCTTTCTTTAACCACCACCCCAATAAAGCCTTTATGGACTATTTTCTAGGAAATCAACCAGAAGGGAGTCATCTAATGTGATCCCCTATATTTGCCCCCCAAAAAACTTAAAAGGTCAAAACTAAGCTCTGTGGGAAAGGCAGCGCTCTGTTTTCTGCACCATTTATTTTTTCTGCCCAGAAATAGTAAATAGGACAAAAGGAACCAAATCTCAAGGTATATTTTGGATGCTAAGCAAGGGGCAGCCATGGTTAGGACTTGGATGGGAAACCACCAATGGATACCAGGCATTGGAGGCTCTATTTCAGAGGAAGGGATTAGCCAAACCACTTCTGAAGATTCCTATCACTATTAATAATCATATTACAGTATATTATTATTATTATTATTATTATTATTATTATTATTATTATTTGAAACACAACAAGATGACTCTACCGCAGACAAGATTATTATTATTATCATCATCATCATCATCATATCCAACCCTCCAGCCATGCCAGGTACCATTATGCCAAGGTGAAAGCCCTTCCAGTTAGAGTTCTGCATTGTTGTTGTTGTTAATATTGCAGTATATTATTATTATTATCCCCAACCCTCCCGCCATGCCAGGTACCATTATGCCAAGGTGAAAGTCCTTGCAGTTAGAGTTCTGCATTATTATTATCGTTGTTGTTGTTACTGTTGTTGCTGCTGCTCCTGCTAATATTACAGTATATTATTATTATTATTATTATTATTATTATTATTATTATTATTATTATTTCCAACCCTCCAGCCTTGCAAGTTTACCAGGTACCATTATGCCAAGGTGAAAGCCTTTGCAGCTAGAGTTCTGCATTGTTGTTGTTGTTAATATTGCAGTATATTATTATTATTATTATTATCATCATCATCATCATTATCATGCTAGGTACCATTATGCCAAGGTGAAAGGCCTTGCAGTTCAGCATTGTTATTGTTGTTATTATTTATATCATGGTTTATTATTATTATTATTATTATTATTATTATTATTATTATTATTTCCAAACCTCCAGCCATGCCAGGTACCATTATGCCAAGGTGAAATCCCTTGCAGCTAGAGTTCTGCATTATTATTGTTGTTGTTATTACGGTATTTTATTATTATCCCCAATCCTCTAGCCATGCCAGGTACCATTATGCCAAGGTGAAAACCCTTGCAGTTAGAGTTCTGCATTATTATTGTTGTTGTTGCTGCTGCTGCTGCTACTGCTAATATTACAGTATATTATTATTATTATTATTATTATTATTATTGTTGTTGTTTCCAACCCTCCAGCCATGCCAGGTACCATTATGCCAAGGTGAAAACCCTTGCAGTTAGAGTTCTGCATTATTATTGTTGTTGTTGCTGCTGCTGCTGCTACTGCTAATATTACAGTATATTATTATTATTATTATTATTATTATTATTATTATTATTGTTGTTGTTTCCAACCCTCCAGCCATGCCAGGTACCATTATGCCAAGGTGAAAACCCTTGCAGTTAGAGTTCTGCATTATTATTGTTGTTGTTGCTGCTGCTGCTGCTACTGCTAATATTACAGTATATTATTATTATTATTATTATTATTATTATTATTATTATTGTTGTTGTTTCCAACCCTCCAGCCATGCCAGGTACCATTATGCCAAGGTGAAAACCCTTGCAGTTAGAGTTCTGCATTATTATTGTTGTTGTTGCTGCTGCTGCTGCTACTGCTAATATTACAGTATATTATTATTATTATTATTATTATTATTATTATTATTATTATTGTTGTTTCCAACCCTCCAGCCATGCCAGGTACCATTATGCCAAGGTGAAAACCCTTGCAGTTAGAGTTCTGCATTATTATTGTTGTTGTTGCTGCTGCTGCTGCTACTGCTAATATTACAGTATATTATTATTATTATTATTATTATTATTATTATTATTATTATTATTATTGTTTCCAACCCTCCAGCCATGCCAGTTTACCAGGTACCATTATGCCAAGGTGAAAGCCCTTGCAGCTAGAGTTCTGAATTGTTGTTATTGTTGTTAATATTGCAGTATATTGTTGTTATTTTATTATCATCATCATCATCATGCCAGGTACCATTATGCCAAGGTGAAAGCCCTTGCAGTTAGAGTTCTGCATTATTATTATCGTTGTTGCTGTTGTTACTGCTGCTGCTGTTTTATTATTATTATTATATTATTATTATTGTTTCCAACCTCTCTAGCCATGCCAGTTTACCAGGTACCATTATGCCAAGGTGAAAGCCCTTGCAGCTAGAGTTCTGAATTGTTGTTATTGTTGTTAATATTGCAGTATATTGTTGTTGTTATTATTATCATCATCATCATCATGCCAGGTACCATTATGCCAAGGTGAAAGCCCTTGCAGTTAGAGTTCTGCATTATTATTATCGTTGTTGCTGTTGTTACTGCTGCTGCTGCTGTTGTTGTTGTTTATATTATGGTATGTTGTTGTCATTGTTGTCGTTGTTTCCAACCCTCCAGCCATGCCAGTTTACCAGGTACCATTATTCCAAGGTAAAGCCCTTACAGCTAGAGTTCTGCATTGTTGTTGTTGTTGATGTTGTTAATATTGCAGTATGTTGTTGTCGTCGTCATCATCATCATCATCATCATCATCATCATCATCATCATGCCAGGTACCATTATGCTATGGCGAAAGCCCTTGCAGTTAGAGTTCTGCCTTATTATTATCATAGTTGCTGTTGTTGTTGTTTATATTATGGTATGTTGTCGTTGTTGTTGTTGTTGTTTACAAGCCTCCAGCCATGCCAGTTTACCAGGTACCATTATGCCAAGGTGAAAGCCCTTGCAACTAGAAAACCCTATGAAATGTATGGGTTGCTGTAAGTTGACAGGTGGCTTTGAAGGCACATCTATTTCCTTCCATTGCATGGGGAAAAGGGGCCTTTAGGGATTGTCACTCCCAGAATCCCCAAGACAGCATTCTGGGAGTGGCAGTCCAAAAAGAGAAGAGGGGTTGCCAATGAATCCAAGCTTCTGCAAGCTCTGTTTGGAAGTGGCAAAACCACCTCTGTATCTTCCTTCTGTACCCTATGAAATGTATAGGGTTGCCGTAAAGCAATAGGCAACTTGGAGGCACAAGCACTGACCTCGATCCCTTTCCCCCAAAATTCTGCAAAAAAAGGACTTCCAGGGCATAGGAAAAAGTATCTTTGGGGACTGTTGCTCCCAGAATCCCCTAGTCCAGAAATTAAATAGTAATTATTAATTAAATAATTATTGTATTGTCGAAGCTTTCATGGCTGGAATCACTGGGTTGTTGTAGGTTTTTCGGGCTATATGGCCATGTTCTAGAAGCATTATCTCCTGGCGTTTCGCCTGCATCTATGGCAGGCATCCTCAGAGGTTGTGAGGCTTGTTGTAGGTTTTTCGGGCTATATGGCCATGTTCTAGAAGCATTATCTCCTGACGTTTCACCTGCATCTATGGCAAGGCTTTCGTGGCTGGAATCACTGGGTTGTTGTAGGTTTTTCGGGCTATATGGAAATTTTCCAGAAGCATTCTCTCCTGACGTTTTGCCTGCATCTATGGCAGGCATCCTCAGAGGTTGTGAGGGTTGTAGGTTTTTTGGGCTATATGGCCATGTTCCAGAAGCATTCTCTCCTGACGTTTCGCCTGCATCTATGGCAGGCATCCTCAAAGGTTGTGAGGGTTGTTGTAGGTTTTTTGGGCTATATGGCCATGTTCTAGAAGCATTCTCTCCTGACGTTTCGCCTGCATCTATGGCAGGCATCCTCAAAGGTTGTGAGGGTTGTTGTAGGTTTTTTGGGCTATATGGCCATGTTCTAGAAGCATTCTCTCCTGACGTTTCGCCTGCATCTATGGCAGGCATCCTCAAAGGTTGTGAGGGTTGTTGTAGGTTTTTCGGGCTATATGGCCATGTTCTAGAAGCATTCTCTCCTGATGTTTCGCCTGCATCTATGACAAGCATGCCTGCCATAGATGCAGGCGAAACGTCAGGAGAGAATGCTTCTAGAACATGGCCCTATAGCCCGAAAAAACCTACAACAACCCAGCAAGGACCACCAATGTCCTGTTATCTGTATTTCAAAGGAAAGGACAAGCAAAAGCATGTCTACTTTTGTAAACAATCTATGGGTTCACCCTAGAGTGATGGCTATCTTCAAGGCATATATATATAGAAGAGGGAGCAATCCTCTTCTCCCCATTCTTGGCCCCTGTGTGACATCATCACCCTCCAGCTATGATGTCATAGGCCCAAGGGGCAACACCTTAGGCAGGTGAAGGGTGCAAAGAGAACCAAATCTGGCCCATAGAGGAGCAATGGGAAGGAGCCACAAGTGGGCAATGGAGAGGAGACAAGGGCAGAGCTGTGGAGGGGAAGGGAGCGAAGGAGCGAAGAAGGCAGGCTGATGGAGGGATGCAGCAGCATCAGCATCAGCAGCATGGAAAGGGGCAGGGCTGGGAGGATGCCAAAGGAGGAGGGAAGGGAGGGGTGCCCAAGGAAGGGAGACCCCTCTATGCATGCCCTGCACGCCCACCCCTTTCTCCTGCATCATCTCCCCCCACTTGGCTCCTTTCCTCTCTTGCACTGACCTGCGCCATCCTTCCTCCTGCTGCTTGGCAGCTGCATCCCAGCCGCCTCCATGGCTGCTCTCAAAGCCACAAGGAGGGAGGGAGGGAATCAGAGGGGGAGGAGGGGGAGGAGGAGGAGGCAGGGCCCACCCCCAGCATGGCACAAGGAGGCGCACACAGGCGCCAGACAGACAGCCACTCAGGGCGCGCACACAGGCCAAGAGGCACGGCCTGGCTTCACAAGAATGGACAAAGCAAGAATGGACAAAGGAAGCCACAACCAAGCCGGCACACATTGGCTTTGAGGGTCCATCATGCGCTCTCTTGCTTTCATGCACGCCTACACTGAAGTCTCAAGATCCCATAGCACTGAGCCAGGGCAGTTTGGAGAATCGTAAAGTCCTATTGTAAAGTTAGGAGGGACCGCAAGGGCTATCCAGTCTAACCCTCCCTAAGATGGATATAGTAGAGCTAGACAGACAGACAGACCGACAGATGGGATAGGATCATAGAATCTTAGAGTTACAGGGGACCGCAAGGGCCATCCAGTCCAACCCTCCCTAAGAT